ACAGGCGAGGAAACTTAATACCTGCATTGGGAAAAACAATGAGGGAGGATGGGTGCCTTGGCTGAAGGAGCTAATCAAGGAATGTCTGCTTCTACAGGGAGACAGAATCAACTGTGTGCTCACTTTAAGGCAGCATAGCTGTTAGGGGAGAATCTGTGGGAATGAGGGACATTTAAAGCCGGATCAGGTGATTGGACTTTATCTCTAATTTAGCTTTCCAGAGTCCCTCTATTATAAGGTAGGGAATATAGTCCTGGTCAGATTTCCCTCAGTGTTAGTTTCCCACAACTTCCCAGTCCAAAGCCATCCTCACTACATGGTTTAAAATCAAGAAAAGTATGTATCAATGTTGTATCCTCTTATAAAATCTGAATGTTGAGTAAATAATGCAAGGAGATGGATTATATGAAGAAGATTGTGGTATCATGACTGGAGGAAGACTACTTAATAACCTGTGATATACAGATGACACAACCTTGCTTGATGAAAGGCAAGAGAACTTGAGGCACTTAGTGATGAAGATCAGAGACTGTGGTGTCCAGTATGGATGACGTTTCAACGTAAGCAAAATCTATATAATTGGGCCAATAGCATCACGAGAAACAGAGAAGAGAGTGAAGTTGTTGAGGATTTCATTTTATTTGGATCCACATTCTTATGGAAGCAATCAACAAATCAATGACATATTACACTGGACAAATGTGCTACACAAGACCTCTTTAAAGTGCTAAGGAGCAAAGATGTCATTGTGAGAAATAAGATGTGTCCGGCCTAAGTTGTGGTGTGTTCAGTTGCGTCATGTGCGTACGAAAGCCGCCCGGTGAATAAAGGAACGTCACGGAGAAGTGATGCATTTGAAGGACGGTGTTGGCAAAGAATATTGAAAGTGCCAGGGACTTCCAGAAGAACAAACAAATCTGTCTTGGTAAAATTATAGCCAGAATGCTCCTGAGAAGTGAGGATGGCAAGACTTCCTCTCAAGTACTTTGGCATGTTATCTGGAGAGCCTAGGCACTGCAGAAGGATGTCGTGCGTGGTAAGGTGCAGGCTTGGCACAAAAGGAAGAGGGATTCATCCCAGAGGAGATGAAGTAACACCGTGGCTGGACTCTTGGGCTGAAGCATAGGACTTGTGATGTTGCTGCAGGACCGGGCAATGTGGTCACTCTGTTTTATGTTGGGTGGATATGAACCAAAAGTTGCCAAAGATTTTGTCTTGCTTAGATCCACACCATCAGTGCTCAGGGAAGAAGCCAAGAGAGCAAACAAAGGGTTTCAGTGGGCAAAGATGCTGCACAAGATTTGTTTAGACCGTTGAAAAACAGAGAGCTTAACTTTGATGACCAAGAGGCACTTGACCCAAGCCATGATATTTTCAATCACCCGTCTGCATGTGAAAGTTGAACATTGAATGAGGAAGACTGAAGAAGAATCGATGCATTTGAATTGTGTTGGCGAAGAATATTGGCAGTACCATGAACTGCTAAAAGGACAAACAAATATGTCTTCGAAGAAATACAGCCAGAGTGTTCCTAAGAGGTAAAGAGGGTGAGATTTCATCTTACATACTCTGGACATGTGGTCACAAGAGACCAGCCCCTAAAGAAGCACATCATAGTTGGCAAAGTAGAGGGACAGTGCAACAGAGGAAAGCCTTCAGCGAGATGGATTGGCCCAGTGACTGCAACAACGGGCTCAGGCATAGGAACCAGTGCACGGATGGCACGGGCCTGGGCAGTGCTTGGTTCTGTTGTGCAGAGGGTAGCTATGGGTGAGAACTGATTTGATGGCAAACAACAACAGCAACAACAACATGAGTTGGAGTCGACTTGTCAGCACCTAACAGCAGCATGGCTAATAATACATATGCAGATTCTCTCCAAGACAACTCCCTGAGCTGGTTGATCTCTCCCATTTTGTAAATGAAGATCAATGGGAGTTTGTGATTGTCCAAACACGTAGCCAGTGTTGAATGTCAGAGTTCGATTTTAACCAAGGCCACTTGACTCCCCAGCCAGCTCTTCTCCAACAGAAAACTTGCTTCTGAGTGCCTGTGGCTACCAGTGGTCTGTCCTTGTATTCCTGGTGCAATTGTTCTTTCTCATTCTCAGAGCATGTAGAGTATTGCTTTTCAACAAGTCTAAAAGGATATTCACAAAAACATTAATGTTGATTATCTCAGCATGGTAGAATTATGAGTGATTGTTATTTTCTTTTCCATACTTTGTGTTTCCTCATTTTTATGAAATGACCATTTATTATTTTCATAAGCAGAAACAAAGTAGTCAACTTCTTTAGTATGAAACTGATCAGATCATCAAGATGCATTGCTAATTACTGGCAGTTGGATTGTGGAAGTTGGAAACCAAGAAGAATAGGTAGTTAGAAAATATAGCCGTAGTGATAGAAACAAAGCCAGAGGTCACATGATAGAATTTTGCAGAACCAAGGACTTCTTCATTGCAAAACAGCATGAACAGCAAGTATACATGTGGACCTCCATGGATGGAGTGCACGGTGACTCCACCTATGAGAAGAGATGATGGGGAAGGCATGATCTTCAGCTAAAAGAATGCTCTGCTCTCAGTGAGCGCTCCTGGGCATTGCGGTGGCACTGAGCCGCCTCCGTGGGCATGAGGCTTGAGTATTGGAAGGTGACTGACAGTACCCTCAGGCCTCCAATACACTGCAAAGGAATTTAGTACGGCATTTAGGGTCCTCGAGCAATTAAGTCCAGAGATTCATCTGCCAGAAATGACATCCTCCTCCAAAGGAGATGGCTCTCGGATGCTTTGGGAATGGCCCACCTTCAAGGCCAACACATTCTTTGACGCCTAGAATGGAATTCACCAACGCTACAGAGTCACATTTGGAGAACATATTTAAATACGTTTTTCTGGGGTAAAAAATTAGCTGCTAGAGTCAAACTCTTCAAGATTCCTTGGATAAACTCTCCTGAGTTGGAAGCCATAGTATTTTGATTGAGTGACTGTGAGAGGGCCCTTAGATAGTTGAATTACAATGGATTTCAGTGGTCTTCTGTGGTAAAGCTCACTTTAAAGATAAGCGGGCATTTCCCTTCAATCATGTTGGCAAATAGAGCTGTGAAGAGCCAGAATCTCATGGCTGATTCCTGACGTCCTCTAGCTTAACTCCTGTTAGGAATATAATTAAAATGTCATCTCTCAACAACAGAAATGGAGTGTAAAGTAGAAAATGTAGTCAGGTAGCCATGATGATGCGGCTGTACCCTGAGAGCTGTTTTTATCATTTTAAATTTTATTTTAGAGCACCATCATTTAGTAGAATTGTAATGGAAACCGCATGTGCATTTAAAATTTTTCTACTAGTCACATATTTTAAGAGTAATAAGAAGCCAGTCAAGTTAACTGTAATAATTTTTTTAATCTGATATATCCAGGATGGTATTATTTCACCAAAGAATCAATATAAAAATTATTGATGAGCTATATTTTATAGTTTCAGCACATCTCGGTTGAGACTAGCCACAGTTCAGGTGCCCAAGGGCCACATGTGGCCAGCCCGGGCCACGTAATGCTGCTGCACATAATTAGGACATTCATTCAACACCAAAATATTATGGAAGTGAATACATTGAGCTAGGATATGTTCAGAAGGAGGTCAAAATACGTAAGCTAGAAAAAGGAACATATGTATTGAAAATTGTTTAAATAGATCATTAGAGTAAATACCGTAGCTATTTTGTACCACCCTATATATGCTAGATTATTAGAAAATGGTCCTCTCACATTAATAACTATACATTTATAATTAGGACAAACGAGGTCACAGCTCATGGTCAGTCCAGAGAACCAGTTGTCCCTTCCAGCCTTGGCAGGGTTACAGTGGCAAAAGCGCCTCCAGGACCCTGACTGGCGTGGGGCAGCCTGGCCCACGCTTCCAGAATCGGGGGCTTCCTGACTCGTTACGTACTGTCAGCTAGTCAGTTTGACTCACAGTGAATCCGCAGGACAGAGTCCTATAGGGTGGTTTCCAAGGTTATAATCTTTATGGAAGCAGACTGCCTCACCTTTCTCCCGAGAGGCAGTGGGTGGGTTCAGATCACTGACCTTTCAATTTGTAGGCAAGTGTTTCGCTGTGGGCCAGCAGAGTTAGATTGTACCGGGCGCCACCAAGCCTCCTTGGGACTTGGACAGACAAGTAAAATCTCCAAATAACAAAGCATTGCGATAGCGACCATCTTTGAAAAGAAGGGAAAGGATCTTAACCGTTGTTCGTAATTTTTATCGTAACCACCGATTACAAATCCGTCATCTTCAGTGGATTCACTATAGAATTGCTGAGGACAAGACCCTTTTCTGTGAGCTCTCCTCCTCTCCTAAGATCTTCGATTTCAAAGAGGGCCCTGGCTGGGTTGAACCCTGATAATGGAAAGGTCATCTGCTCACCCCCACCAGCCACTCCATGGTCAAAGATAGTCCGTCTCCTTCTAAAGATCGACAGTCTTTGAGCCCCTCTGGAGGGCATCTATGGCTTTGGGGGAGTTTAAAATTGTGTGCTCATTGTATTAAACCAGCATGGGTTGTTTTGTTGGTTTTTTTCCAAACTTAATTTGAAGTCTTGGAAATATTCTGGTTATTTGCCCTCACATTTTCTTGTTCCCCAAGGGCTGAGAAATAAGGTAAGGAGAGAAAAATCATTGCCATCGCCTGGTAAAATATTGCTGTACAGTCAAATTTCAGCCAGTGACACCCAAGACACCTTCCCAGGGTTTACTAGGCTGCCTTTGAAGTGTATTTGGTTTGAATCAGCAAAGTGAGGGAAGCGGATGCCATCTAGAACCTGTCTGCTTTGTCACGGAAAGGGGATTACTTTACAATCACAACGGGGATGGTCCCTTTTCCCCACCCCTGTCCTGAAAACTTAAAGGGAGTCCATCTGAATTTCTTGTCTGTTCTTCCTTGCACCGATGTCTAAGAGATGTTTGTTTGTTTGTATCTTTATTTTTTTGATACCCAGGAGTTAAATAGCTTTAATTACTTGGATCTGTACAGACTTGCGGACCTCTTTAACCTCACTCTGTTGGAGAAAGCAGTGATCGATTTCTTAGTGAAGCATCTCTCAGAACTGCTGAAGAGTCGCCCAGAAGACGTCCTCACGCTGCCCTATTGTCTGCTTCAGGAGGTCCTCAAGAGCGACCGCCTCACTTCGCTGAGTGAAGAGCAGATCTGGCAGGTAAGGGTGCCCGACCCACATGCTGTGGGCCTTGACATGCCGTGAAATGATGAAAAGTGAAAGGGTTAAGAACAGTCCGAGTTTTGTGCCCTGGTTTGGTCCTTGTGTTGCCAGGTTTAAGATTTAGACGTTATTTCCACTTGATAAATCAAGAATTGGAAACACAAGTTCTTATGGTGAGAGTGGCCTTCACAGTCTACTTAACTCAGGGCATCACAGGTGAGACTGGCCGCAGACTCTCCCATCTCCAAAAGTCTGTGACCTTCGGAAACGCAACACGGTTACATCTGAAAAAGTTAGACATTCTTCCCCCGGATAAAAATGGTTTCTTCCCGTGGATATGGAAAGGATGGTTTGTCAAGTGTAGCTATGCATAC